AAACGACAATATGTACAGCAGATGCATCATAATTTCATTTTACACAAAAGAAAATTTACAGCTTACTTCATACAAATTTAATACAAAAATTCACATGAGCCCTTATTCATAAATATAATATTATTTGTTACATTTGTTACTCCGTTGTTACGCTCAAAGCGTTATTTTAAAACAATTAAACAAATGTTGATAGAGCGCACGATGCGAAAAGCTATGTTACAATTTTTTCACCAAGGAGTGGATTTCTAATTTAGATACACGATTACATAATATTGTCAGTCAGTTCATATAGAACTGTTATGAATAAATTAATGAAAAGAAAATGCGTTACTCTGTTAATCTGTAAATGTTAATGAGGGTCCCTTCTTAAAATGACGAAAGATATTCTTGCGACTTTGTACAGATTATACGTATATTGTTTATTATTTTTTTTCATATAAACATACGTAATGTAATGTAGACAGCACATAGTTTTGTTTTATAAATATTTAATTTAACTAAAATAATTTATGAATTAGTCACAAAAATATAATTTAAAAACCAATTTCGATTTGGTGGCATATAATAATTTTATAAATACATGGTATTATCGTTCGAAAACAATTTAGCAACAAAAGTGACATTTATTATTAAAAGCCTCAAAGATATAACCTAATTAAAATATTTTATTCATCACCTAATTCGAACATTTTGTGTCTATTTAAAAATAATCAACGCTAGGCCAAAATTTGCAATTTTTTTTCTACTTTACCAACATAACATCATACGAAATATAGAGGACGATACTTACAATTATATCTATATGTAATTGAATTTCAAGTTACGAAAATATTCTGAAATATGAAAATTCATATCATAGAGATGTACATTCAAATAACTATAATGTTTGTAAAACGCGAAAACTTTTTACGTTATTTTATAATACACAAATGTTATAATACGTAAGTGTTATTTCACTAAAGTTCTCTGCAATTGTTTTCAATTTTAAGATACGACTTTGGACAATATGACTAGACGATTAGCTGGAACACTTGGAATGTCACCCGGTGCGTAGATATTCAGCGTGATGCCTGTAACGAAATATGTTTTATTTTTCTTTTGTGACATTTTTACATTCACATTTGGAATATTCACAGAAACCAGCGTGAAAGAGCTGCTGTGTTTCGAATGGGGAGTGTAGATAATCGCAGGCCCTTTTTACTACATACAGAGCATTCAGTACTTTGTCTTTTGTTTTTCTTCAGTATTTCTTCCATACCTTTGGATAGACGATATCGCAAAAGCAAAAAAAAAATATTTAATATGTTTTAATAACGTTTCTTGCCTTAGACAATTTTCTATGATGTTTTCATTTGATTGCCATTAATGACGGAGCTAAAGCTGGTAGCAAAACCAGTGCTATAACTGTGCACGTGCTTGTTCCTGAAAATTAAACAAATTGTAATAAAAACAGTTTAACATCAGCGCATAATAATCATAAGTGCTGGTTTAACTCGTTAGTTTCAAACTTTTCTAAGCAACAGTAACCTACAAATTTTTATTATTATTATTATTTTTTTATTATTAATTCTTTATTTGCGCAATATGGGTACAGATGGTGTTACAGTGGTCAATTTACATTGTTGATCGCCATATTTAGGCTCATGCCATGCAAAAATTCTTAATTTTATGCTATAGATTAAATTAAAATTATTACATATCAAATCATAGTGTCTAAATAATTATTAAAATAATGTCAAATGAGATTACCTAATTAATACACAATGTCAACTTTGTAAAATAATGTCACATAAAATGTCTAATTAATGTCACAGTACCACTAAGCCGGTTACAATACTGCATCTATTAATTTGTCTTCAAGAAATTCCCTTACCGAATAATATGATTTTTCTAAAAGTAGTGTCTTCACTTTTTTTTTAAATAAATTATTATTTGAAATTTCAAGCAGAGAGTTGGGTAAATGATTATACACTCTCGGAATCATACAAAATACACTGCTGTTTAAAAGTTTAGTTTTGTTATACATGAAGCTTATTTGGAAAGGGTGTCTCTTGCTCTTTAATTTAACAAATAAGTTACTATTATTTCTTACAAATAGCACCATATCCAGTATATAAATACAGGGTAGTGTCAATATTTTAATCTTTGAAAATATCGACCTACAGCTCTCGGTTTGTTTCATTCTGTATATAGCCCGAACGCATCTCTTTTGCGCCCTAAAGACCAACTCTTTTCCCACAGAGTTGCCCCAAAACATAACACCATACATTAAAAGAGGAGTAACATGTCCATGGTAAGCCGTTAAAACTGTGGATGTACTGGCAGTTTTGGACAACATGTAGATCGCATATGAGTATTGATTAAGTTTCGAACACAACATCTCTGTATGTGACTTCCAGTTTAGTTGAGAATCAATGTTTAGTCCCAAAAATTTTATTGTCTCTATTTCTTCAATTTTTATTTGTGTATAGTAGATTTTCATGTCCGTTAATTTGTGAACTCTGTTTCGAAACGTCATTAATTTAGTTTTTTCTAAATTTATTTTTAAATTAAATTATTAATTAGTCAACCATTTAATAATATTATCTAAGGTATTGTTTATGTCCAATTCTATTTGTGTTTTTTCTTTTCCTGTAAATATAATTGTACTGTCGTCAGCAAATAAAATAGTGTCATTGCTTGTTACTTTCGGGAGATCATTTATGTATATAATAAATAATAATGGACCCAATACACTACCTTGTGGCACACCAAAGTTATTGATTTTGTACGCTGATTCATAGTCACATATAATTTTTTTTGTGAGGACACAATCTCGTTATGTGTGTAGACTGTATTCTGTTACCAAGATAGCTCCTAATAAGATCATGCGTATTTCCCCTAACTCCATAGGCAAATAGCTTATCTAGCAATATATTGTGGTCAACATAGTCAAATGCCTTTGTTAGGTCCATATAAAGGGCGCAGGCATGATTTTTATTATCCATGTTTACCATAACACTCTTTAAAAATGAGAAAACTGCCATATTTATAGTTTTGTTCTTTCTGAAACCTACCTGCTCTTTTGAAAATAAATTATTTGTTTCGAAATAATTATTTAATCTTTCATGAATCACTTTTTCAAAAACTTTAGATAGAACCGGTATTAATGATATCGGTCTATAACAGCTCATGTCATTTCTGTCGTTTTTCTTAAAAATAGGTTTGATTATGGTTAACTTTAATTTGTCAGGAAAAAGGCCATGATAAATGCATTGATTGATAATATGACTCAGTACATGTGATAATTTGATAGAAACATATTTTAATACTTTGGTTGAAATATCATCATAACCCGTACTATTCGTAGGTTTTAAATTTAAAATAATTTTATTTATTTCATTCGGTGTTGCGGGTTTCATAAATAAAGATTTAGATTCACTTGAAATATTAATTGGTGTTCTATGCGGGACCAATTTGGTGATTTGGTTAATATAATATTCATTAAATTTATTCGCTATGCTTATGGGATCCTTAATTGTAGTGTTATTGATAGTAATTTGTTCTATTTCCTGATTTGGTAAATTAATTGTCCTATTATTAATTATAGTCCAAGTAGCTTTGCATTTGTTACGAGCATTATTTATGAAATTGTCGTTTTTAACCTTTTGTGTGAATTTGATAACACGACTGAGTCTTGATGAAAGGTCTATAAAACTTCTTTTATTATTTTCTGTTCGGTTTTTCCTATATTGCCAAAGAAGCTGACGTTTACGTTTTGCAGCACTTTTTTATACCTTTCGTTATCCATTTCGGCTTCACTTTTGTGTCTTTTTTAATATATTTTACAGGAAAACATAAGTTATAGAAAAGACGGAAAAAATCATAAAAAATGTTAAACGAAGTATTTGGATCATTGCTACTGAAAACACATCATTGAAACTTAGAGCGTTAATGCATTCTTTAAATTTATCTAAATTCTCTTTACAGTAGTCCCGCGTTTTAATGTACCAATGTTTGATCAGACAACTTACTTTTACTGGACATGTAAGTACTTGTGCAGTGTGATCAGATAACGCAAGTTCCAAAACTCTTGTTTTACAGTCACGAACATTATACATGAAATTGTCAATACATGTGCCACTTACCAATCTAGTGGGCTCTTCTATTCCTATTTTCAGGTTATACGCAGATAGAATTTCACTTAACTCAATAGTTTCCTTACTTTTTTTTAGAGTATTAATATTAAAATCGCCACAGAGTATTACTTTATTTTTTCCAAGGCAAAACTGATTTAATAAAGAAGTAAATTTTGCGAAAAACTTATTGATATCTTCAGAACTTACCCTGGGGGGTCTGTAAATGCAGAATATATATAGTTTATGTTCAGGTAATTGTATTCCTGAACATTCGATTATACCTTCAATCGAATATTTTTTTATGTTAATGATTGGTATAAACTTTTGTGAGTTATGTACCAGAATACAAGATCCACCGCGACGATTTCTACGACTAAACACTGAACCCAATGAATAATTTGGAATGTTTAAGATATATAAATCAATACTAGACATATTGTGTTCGGTAATGCATAAAACTTTAACATCTTTTACACTTTCTATAGATTCTAAAGATGTAGTTAATAAGTCACACTTGTTTATAAGGCCGTTAATATTTTGATGAAGTATACTTATTTGGTTATACAAGAAAAAAGTTGGTAGAATTAATTTGAGAAGGTGTTTCAATTGCCATGTCAGTTTGGGTGCTACTGTCAGAAAAGTTATTACATTTTACAAGGTCGACAAACATGTCAGTTTGGGTACTATTTTCAGTAAAGGTCTGCTTATGTTCCGGTATGTCTTTTAAGCTTTTACAGTATATCTCATATTTTAATTTATAATCCACACGTAATATTTCAGCAATAATATCATTTTCTTCACTTTGAAAAGGAACATACAACAGAACCATCTCACGCCTATAATCGTTGTAATTGTCAGCCATATCGTAGTTCCTGTATCTTATTATTCTTGCAGTATCTCTTTTAGTGTAAGTCCCTTTGTATTTAGGTAATATTTTGAAACAAATTGTGCTAACGTAACATGGCGGAGTTCTTCAGGTCTTTTCTCATATTTATCAAGCCAATTCTCTTTCCAAATGTTCGTACAATCATCATCTAAAGCTTCAAGCTCCTTCATAGATTTTCTAATTCTTGCGCGTTCAGTAGGAAATACCGTTGGAATGTAGACTGACACCACCGATGACTTAGCCATAGGTTCTCTTAATAAATACCAAGCAGCTTCTTGTGCCGGCATTTCAACAGACTGAAGTTTGTCAATACTCATTTTTTTCGTGATATCGACATTGTCGAATTCTGGATGCTCGTCCATTATGTCAATTATTTGTCTTTGCAAATTACTAATCCCTCTATTATGCTTATTGACATATTCAACAACATATGTTGCACAAGAATATTCATCTAGTATAATCTGAAAATCCATGTTGGATTTCAAATGATGTAATACGAATGGATTGAAAGTGTTGTGCCATTTTTCTGCTGGTGTCCTTTTATAGAATAATTTTGGTCTACTGATACCAGCACGAATAATATTGTAGTAATGATCATCAGAAATAATACCATTATGCGAGTAAAATTCATCAAAATCCGTATAGTCAATATTTTCGAGATGATTTTTTATAAATTTAAATCGTTCCTTATATTCTTTGAAAAGTGCTTCTGAGTAATCGGGATCAGTGTTTTTCATAGGTATCAAATTAATAGTTTTTTTTTGTAGGCATAAATGGTTCACCAAATCGACATTCTTGTTTTTTATTAGGATCCATTTTTTTATAACACGGAAATGTGTGTTTGTGTGTTACTAGTTTTATATTTCCAGACGCCTCTGACGCTGACACAGAAACTAATTCGTCGATTAATTTAATTACTTCGGGATCATTACTTAATAAATCTTCAGGAACATTGTCCAACCAAAGAAGAATATGAGCATGTGGGCTACCACGATGTTGAAATTCTATTCTTTTGAAATAATGTATTACTCTATATTTTCCGAATGGACTTCTTTTCTTTAATTGCAAAATTTTTAACAGACAATTTACCATTTTATTAAAATAGATAGCACAAGTTACGGCATCTTCATTCACAAGTTGAGCTTTATGCACATAACTCATTTCTGCTGAAAACTCGTCTGAAAGTTCCATTCCCTCGTTTTTCAATTTGTAAAATAATTTCAACATATTTTCCCAGCCAGTTTCATTGGCGCTGAGAGTCATAAAAGCAGTTGGTGGCCTTAATTGCCTAATCATTGCAAAAACATCTTTTTTGCGATCTGACCAAAACTCTTTCGTAATTGAAGTACCTTGTCTAACTCTCAACCTCATGATTTTAGCAGCGATGTATAAAAGGTGTCGTGGGTCAATAGCACGCCTATCAGTACGCCGAAGTTCGCTGGTAGCTTGCATGAATGGAGTAACAATAACACCATCTCTGTATGTTCGAAACTGACCGCCGTAGATTGTCGGAAAAGATAGTTCTTCCGCATGTTAATCGATTAAAATACTGATTGGCCTGTTATATTCACCGGGTGCTATACTCAAAAAATAATCATCATTCCACAAAAGAGTTTGTTGCTGCACAACTAAATTGTCTTCAATTGGCACATGTTCACTTATTTCATCCATATTCAATTGCGAAATACGTTCATTGCCGGAAAAAAAGATTCATCGATTTTAATGTCATGATAAATATAAAGAGGCGTAGATACTAAATACGACAACCACTCTTTAATATGGCTCTTATTTATAAGCCCGTGGACATAACTAGTTTTGTGAATCAACTTCTTTTTCAAATGCACATAAAAGCAATGGTCATCTTCAATGTTTCTTGGCAATTGTTTCACCATTTTATTAACTTCAACAGGTGCATTAATTATCTGGCTATAAATACCGTACTGACCATTAACGTGTCTCAGTCTACGAATCTGCATGAACGGTATTCTCGGGGAAATCAACCGTTGCTCGATAAGGTTTAACGTTGGTAAATGTGATGGAATTTTCGGATATGCAAAACCATTGTAGGTTGACATGAGAGGATTTTTTTCTTTTCCCAAAGATGTATAACACGTAGAGCAGACTTGAACAATTTCACCAGGTATGTAATTCTAAAAAAAATCAAATTCGTATTATCAAGATATAGAAAGAAAAATATAAAGTGAATAATTAAAAAATAAAATTACCTGCAGTATTGTTTTCAAAATACTTTCATGTTTACTGGTCGACTTTTACAAGTCTCCTTTCCTCCATATTCTGTCGCAAATAATACAAGAATGACCGAATGAACTACTCGTAAATTCTTTATAAAAATCAATATGACTTGTACTGTGTTTACGATAATTTGTAAAAACTGGAATAGTACCATTATCAATAAAATCCATACATAGTATTTTCACCAATTCGATCTTTTCTATCAATCTCAATTTCATTTTCATGATTGTTATGGTTATCTTCGGTAGGATCTTCATCATAATTATCACGCAATAGTTCAATATTGGCATCAACATGGGCTTCATTTTGGGTAGCGTCTTGTACTGTCTCCAATAAATCTGATACTTCATAAAAAGGTGTGAAATGTTGTTCACGAAGATGAAGATGAATCCAGTTTTGTGCATCATTCGCTTTAAAATGACAAAAGATAGTGTCTTCATTCGTTGTAGTTATGTTGTAAAAACAATAATGTACACAAATATTTTGATTGTACATTTTTGAGAATAAGTACAAACAATCCAAATCTCCGTAATCATTACTGCTTGATAGAATGTTATATGCTTCTTGCGGATTGTGGCAGGAGTTTAAATAGGGTGAATCGCGTAACTGATTTCTCAAGTCACAACTCTCAATTTGAAGTTGCAAAACACTTATGAGCGAGTGGAATAGACAATTACCATCGCCAGGAATTCCTGTGTTTCTGTGTAGAATAACTTCGAGAGTAATGCATTCATTACGCTGTTCATAAATATGAAGTTGTTGGCTGTGAAATTGATTTTCTTGTAGCGTTACATTTTCTATATTTTCAACAGCGCTACATTGCACGATATTCTCTTCATTACTGCACAATCGTCTTTTTCTGTAAAAAATGATGAAATCGATAAATTAAATAATATTAAAGCATATATTACAATTTGTTTTTAAATAAATAAATAAAAAATATGTTGGCGCAACCAACAAACCTTTTATCGTACCGGGCCCACAGTGACGTCACGCATACTGAGTCACACACATGCCACCACCCCGTTCGGGCATCAGACTGCACCGTACAACCGTAGCGGCAACACACGTTTCTTATATCTTTATTTGTCATATACGACATTGTAAATATAGTTATTAAATCAAGTTATTAGTACTATCCTGGTCTTCTTCATTGACGATCCTGCGATCCTGGTCTGGAGAGAGCTTACCTGAGGAGTACACCCAACATAATGGCGACCGTGAACTTCTGTTGCTACGTGGACGCGTAGTACGAACCTGCATACTGAGGAGAACAAAGGAATGCGCACTGCACTGCTGTTAGAATCAAGAACTGGACTATCAAGAAAATACCTACCAGCCAGTGTTATTTGAACCACGACAAGTGTTAATTATTGTGCCGCAACAGGATTTTAAAACAAAAGGGAGGTTTGCCCGTTCCTTATTTTCCTAGTTTAACTGTGCTAGCCCTGTAAAGCTTCGTTGTGCGAGCAGATCTCATATTTTTCTAATTAGTTCAAATCTATAAGCAAATTAAAATCAGCTGCCCAGCTAAATCGTTCATACAAAGCAATTTACCGTTAACTTTAATTCTCACTCGCATAAATTATCTTACATAGTTAAAATAAATATCAATGCATTTATGGGTTTAATTTATGAACTATTTTAGGTTTTCTGGTGCTAAATCTTAAAAGTTAACTGCTTAAAGATAAGAGTTAAAGATTGCATCAGCCGTTTACGTAATCACCGTTAGCTAGCTACCTACTTTTTCTGAGCGCATCGCATAATTGCATTCTTTTATTATTTCGCTCGATCCTTCTTATCTGTCGCTTCTCTTATCGCATCAGTACGATACAAGTAGGCAAATAGTTAGTTTTTATAGGGTAATTAATAGTTGTCCGGCCGAATATTCCAGTGTGCCGTCCGCTGCGCATGCGCCGATCCGCGTCGCCTGAGCCGAGCGTCTATTGTTCTGCGGTATCCCCGGTCTCGGCGCACAGCTGTTTCATATAAAAAGGCAAGCCTACGTATTGAGGTATTTATTGCAATCTATTTTACCTACTAATCTTGTTTGTTTGCATAATGACTGACATAGAGTTCAAAGCGAAGAGGGCATCTATTAAGGGGCGATTAACTACATTTAGGAATTATTTAGAAGAGTTTAGAAGGCATAGGCAGGGAAATTTAAATGAGTTAAAATTACGATTACGGAAAGCGGACACATTGTTTGAAGACTATGATAAAATTCAAACTCAAATTGAGGTTAATGAGGCGAAGTCAGGCAAACCCGCCGAGGAGCAAGTGGAATTTAGCGAGCGGGAAAATACGGAAAAATTGTTTTTTATCGCGATGAGTAGTGCTCAGGAGTTGATCGCAGCTAATGAGCCTCGCTCCTCGGAGGCCACGAGATTCGATGGTGGGATGGACGCGCGCTCGTCCCACAATGGGGCTAACGCCGGCGTTAGGCTTCCGACCATCAAGCTGCCTACATTTGATGGCAGTACAAACAAATGGTTAGAATTTCGCGATGTGTACCTGTCAATTGTGCACAATAATGACAATCTCAGTGATATTTGCAAGTATCAATATTTAAAAGCATCCTTATTAGGAAGCGCAGCGTCTGTTATTGAATCATTGGAAATATCGGCGGCAAATTACGAAGCGGCCTGGAAACTCGTTAGCGGTAGATTCGATAACAAACGTCAGCTGATTCATACTCACCTTAAGTCATTGTTTGATATGTCTTTTATTGGAAGGGAGTCTGATAAATCATTGCGTTTCTTAATTGACCATGTGTCGAAACATTTGAGGGCTTTAAGTAGTTTAGGTGAAAAGGTTGATAACTGGGACACACTCATTATATTTATGTTCGCGAACAAATTCGATACTGCAACCAGTACGAAATGGGAGGAGTATAGGAATAGTTTAACCGAGAATCCCACTTTAGAAAACTTTTATGAGTTTTTGCGACAAAGGGCCGACGTTTTGGAAATGATAAGCGCAAGCACTAGCACTAGCGACAAGCCTGACAAACAAGTTGCGTATAAACGAATGGATAAGGTTCAAAAGGCATTTGTCGCGACGGCAAGCGAGTCCAACACGTCGATCCACTTAAACGTAAACAATGCACGAGTTTGCCGCATATGTAGTGGGGATCATTTCTTATATAATTGTGAAAAATTTAACCAAATGTCAGTGGACGAAAGAAACACTTTAATAAGAAAATTAAAGATTTGTATGAACCGTTTCCGAGGTGGGCATTATTCCCACCAATGTAAATCGAGTCCATGTGCTATATGTAGACGTAAACACAATACTCTGCTGCATAAAACAATGACATCCAGTCCTCAGAAAAGTGTAGAAAGCAAGGAGTCTGTGTCTACGCCTATATCGTTATCAGCCAGCGTTGAAAATCAGGTATTACTATCAACTGCAATAATTTCAATAAAAAATGTAAACACAAACAAAACTTACGAAGCCCGCTGTCTATTAGACTGTGGTTCGCAGTCTTGTTTTATTACGGAGGCGCTGAGGAATAAGTTAGGCATACAAAGTGAACCTGTTGACAAGGTTCGGGTGACCGGCATTAATAATATTTCGTTTGATGCGCTAAGACGTTGCACCGTGTCAATCCAGCCGCGCGAGCGCAGTGATAAGGAATCGTGTATAAAGGTCGATGCTTTTGTTATTCCCCGGATAACGGGTCAGTTGGCGTTAGAACAGGTGGACGTTTCGAATATTGTTGTTCCACAAAATGTTGTTTTAGCTGACCCTGCTTATTATAAGCCTTCACAAATAGATATGTTATTGGGAGCGGACATTTTTTGGAATGTAATTAGCAGTGAAAGGTTAAGGCTGGGACACAATAAGCCCATGTTGCAAAATTCTATATTTGGCTGGTTAATGGTAGGACTTGTAATGTTAAGTAGTAACGATAGCAGCAGTTCAAAGGTAAAAAGCACTCATTGTGGATTTAGTATGGAAATACGTAATCAGCTAAGCAAGTTTTGGGAGTTGGAGGAAGTGCCAACTACACCAGTGTTGTCCCCAGAAGAGGAGGCGTGCGAAGCTCACTTCAAGCAAAACACGAAACGCTTAGCTGACGGGAGGTTTTGCGTTACGTTGCCGTTTAGTACGCATCCAGATGTGCTGGGTGACTCATACAGATTAGCGAGAAAACGATTCGACTCATTAGAGAAACGTTTTAAGCGGCAGCCTGA